GCCTCCCCTTCACCCCAGGGACCCCCTCCCCTCAGAGACCCCTATTCCCCCCCAAGGCCTCCCCTTCACCCCAGGGACCCCCTCCCCTCAGAGACCCCTATTCCCCCCCCAAGGCCTCTATTTCACCTCTCCCCTCAGAGACCCCCATTTCCCAGGGAAGACCCCTTCACCTGGGGAGATCCCCCCACAGGGACCCTTTCCCTCCAGTGACTCCCTCCCCCACAGGGACCCCCTTCCCACAGGAGGATTCCTTCCCCCCTTCTCCAGTGACCCCCTTTCCTCAGGGGAAACTCCGCAAGCCCCACTGCTGCTCCTGGTCCCCGAAAGGGTGAGGAACTCCTGGCCCCTCTCCCCTTTCACCTTCTCTTTGTTATGGGGGTTGTGCCCCAGCCTGACCGCGGCCCCGTTGTGCTGGGCACTGCACAAACACCCAGGAAGATGCAGCCCTTGCTCCAGTGAGTTTCCAGTCCGGGTCTCAAGAAGAGCTTGGTGCCTCCGCCCAAGGCAGCAGTGGCACCTAACAGTAAGCGCTCCTGGGTGGTACTGCAGGCGTTCGAGCCATTATTAGGATATGTTTTTTCATCTGGGTGCAGAGCTTTGCGTGCGTCTCCGTTAAAAACATAAGAGTGGCCAGACTGGGTCAGACCAAAGGTCCATCTAGCCCAGTATCCTGTCTTCTGACAATGGCCAATGCCAGGTACCGGAGAGGGAATGAACAGAACGGGTAATCAACAAGTGATCCATCCCCTGTCGCTCATTCCCAGTTTCTGGCAAACAGAGGCTAGGGACACCATCCCTGCCCATCCTGGCTAATAGCCATTGATGGACCTCAAGTATCAGACGGGTAGCCATGTTAGTCTGGATCTGTAAAAAGCAACGGAGAGTCCTGTGGCACCTTTAAGACTAACAGATGTATTGAAGCATAAGCTTTCGTGGGTGAATGCCCACTTTGTCGGCATTCACCCATGAAAGCTTGTGCTTCTCCAATACATCTGTTAGTCTTAAAGGTGCCACAGGACTCTCC